ATCCTGACTTGAAAACGGGAATGATAATTGACGTTTTCCATGTTTCAGGAAGGAATCTTAACAAAGCTTTCTCATACACTTGAAGAAGGTCTAAGTCATGCTTAACTCTCTCCTTTGGAATTGTTGCCGTTGATTCGGTACTCCTCTTATAAATGCATTTTGCTTGCGACTGAATCTAGCGCTCGTTGATGTCGCAATCTTTTGAATGAGTGAGCGTTCTTCTCCGGTTTAATTGTTTTGCTGGCTCCGGATGAACTAGCTATTGGGCTAACGAAACTGAGGTCCGTGCACTATTCATTTATCTTTGTGTTGATAACCCTTCCTTCTGTGTTTCCGTGTTCTTCGTCGAAAAAGCTAATCTCAGTTTTTTCGAAGCCTCCTCTTGAATATTCGACCCACAAGGTGTTCCGATATCTTTATTGTTCAACATAGTTGGGAGCCTTCGGCGGTCCTTCGTAGGCCCCCTGGCCGTCTTCCTCAGCTGGTCTGCGTGCACGTAAGCGGCCCTTGTTTTTGTTGGACCGTACAGAGGTACGTGTTGTTTTCCTGGGATGTTTATTTGTTTGCTGAGTTCGCTTTGACTGGTCCTTTTCTCGCCGAAGAGACTGGCATTCAACTGTGTCTAGTTCCCTGGACGAACCGTCGTCAGTTTCAGCGTTTGACATGGCTAAAGAAGTCGTGGTTGCATATGTTTTTTTCGGATTCTGGATTGCCGAGTTCGTCGGCTTCTTCTCTTCACGTAAATGGTGTGTAAGCTTCCTTAACTTTTCTACCTCCATTTTAGACCTTTTAACTCCCCCTCCATTTTCGAAACACAATATTCCAACATTGGCCGAACAAGTGCTCCAAACACTCGGCCGAAAACTTATTCGTCGAAACTGAGGAAGGATCTTCTAATCGCGCCTAGGATGCCCATAGTTTTCTTTGATAACTTGGCGCAGTGAGACGATGGGTCCCCGACGGGTCTTTAGTAAAAATTATTATTATTACTATTGTTTGAAATTTGACGTCATCCACACACCGAGGTCTCTTAACACGTTGACTGGTTCGAGTTAGTGACCTCCTATAAAGCAATGAGATTTAAATCTCAACGGCCTCCTGTCGCTAGATCGTAATCGGATAAGTTGGCAATTATTAAAATTGAGGTTTAGACACCACCCATCACGCCAACGTTGTAAGCGATTCAGAATGTTTTGCAACTGTAGAGAGTCTTCCGGCTTCTCTATTGAGTTCCGAAATTTGAGATCATCGGCAAACACTACGTGCTCGCAGTTCAGACAGTCCAGGCAGTCGTTCACATATATTAAGAACAGAATGGGACCCAGAATGCTCCCCTGTGAAACGCCACTGTGGATGGATACCCATTCCGCTTTAACGCTTCCGACACACACACACTCACACACACGCACACACACGCTGAGATCTGCCCGCAAGAAAATAGGCTAACCAGTTCAACAGTTTCCACTCACGCCCACTTGACGTAGTTTAAATATAAGTGTTCTGTGTGGAACACTGTCAAAAGCCTTTCTGAAGTCGTTGTACACGGCGTCAAGTGATAAACCCATGTCGATTGTTTTCGTCCAGCTCTCCATAGATACTAGCAGATTAGTGAGACAGGATCAACCCCCTCGAAATCCATGCTGATGCAAACTGAGCAAGTTGTTTTCTTCAAGATGCCGCATCAGCTCCGTTTTTATTTCCTTTTCCATCAGTTTGCAACAGATGCTTGTGAGACTCATTGGTCTAAAACTATTTGGGGCTGTTCTCTCGCCACCTTTATATATGGGGCTTATATTTGTTTTCTTTCAGTAGGTGGGCAGAGCCCCGGTCTCCATCGAAGTTCTGAAGATCCTGGATAACGGAGAGGCCAGTTGGTCTGAGAGTACATTCAGGACTTTTGCGAGACCGCCGTCCGGACCAGGCAATTCGGTGGGCCGTAGTTGACTCAAAGTTTTCCTTACCGTGTCTGTTGTGAGGTCCACTGTGCTAATTGTATTTCTTGAATCGAGAACTGGGCGGTAAACTCTTTCATAAAAAGCCGGCTCCTCGGTATACACAGTCGTGAAGAAGTCGGATAATAGATTCGCCTTATCTGAGTTGTCAGACAACGTATTTCACTGACGATCTTTTAGACAAGGATTACAGTCCCGATTGCGTTTCGCCTTATTCACATATCCAAAGAATTTTTTGGAATTTTGCAGGATATTTTTTAGAAGTTTTACTCAAATTCTGCCCTTTCACTTCTCAACAGATTCCGACATACATTTCTCTGTTTTTTGAAGTCAGCGAAATGCTCTGGTTGCTGACATCTGGCGTACTATTTCCAAAGTCTGCTTCTCAATCTGAGGCTCTTCTATATTTCTGACGTTACTCACTCTGGTCGGGAAATGCACGGTTTCCTCTTAAGTGGACAACAGCTCTCTACCAAGTGCTGCATTACGTTCTTGAAGAAGAACCAATATCTTTCTATGTCAGGTCTTTGTGCCGTCTTCCAATTCGTCTTCTGTAGCAGATCTTCCATTCGGCGATAATACCCTTTCCATACATTGCTTCCATCAGCAGCTCGAATTTCGGGTACAGCAAAATGACTATACTCCCAAACAAGAACGCTGTGGTCACTTAGGCCAAGGGGTGTGTGGGCCTCCACTCCGAGAATGCAACTGTCATCCCTAGTGATGATGGGGTCGAAACAACTGGACTGCTGCCCATCTCTATTAAATATCAATGGCCAGATTGTGTTAACTTACTCTTGTGAAATCTTGCCCTTTTAGAACTCCCCACAGTAACGACGATCCAATAGCCTAAAATGGAGACCAACAGCCTTAAGGCTTTAGGTACTTCGATGTGATGCATTTTTTTACGAATATAATACTTTTCATCTTGACATGTGTTCCTTTCATTACTTAAATGGGCCATATTGGGGGAAATAGGGGAGGGGGGGGGAGGGGAGAGGAATGTGAAGCGGTGGGGCAGTGGAGGGAAGCTAGACCCCTGGTTGAGTAAGCGCTAGAGCTCGCTTTTTGGAGCTCGGTTCATGCTCGGAACAAGCTCGCAAGCCGTTTTTCGGAGCTCGTTTCGAGCGCGTTTTAGCGAGCTCTGAGTGAGCTTGAATCAATGCCCACATCAGAGCTACAATAGAGCTCGCGTACTCGTGAATTCAGTTCTGCGGGAGCTCGTTCAGAGCTCATTTTGGTGTTAGGGAAGTAACGTGGCCTAAACATGCGCATCAGCTTGAGTAGAAGTGACAGTGAAAAAAGCCAGTAGGAGAGCAAAATGTATACTTAAGATTCCGACGATCCAGTTTCCAAACACAAGTTTGTTGCACTTATCTCCTTCAGCTTTGCTTCTGACTGCGTTAAAACAAACAGCACCGTTAAAGAAAACGTCTAACCTGCTAGTGGTTAGTTAGTCTAGTACCACAGCGTATCACCTCACTCCAAGACCGGAGGGGACGTGAACTGACACCCGAAATATATGTATGGGTCTTTTATCCGTAATTACGGATTAAAGTTATGAGACCATCGGGAATGTGAATGCAGGAGCACTGCAGGTGATACATAAAAGATGAACGGGAGGAGGGTAAGGTTTCCTGTGTTCCGACACAACATAAGTTAAAATAAACGGTCCATATTTCACAAACTTCCCGTTTGTTTGGGAATGTTTCCTTCTCGCTGTCGTACCTTCAGACTCTGGCTAAAATCACGCTCCCCTCCTTTCGAGTTGCTGTTCTAAATTTTCGCCTGTATTTTGAGTTTGTATCATGTACATTACAGTTGTCAGCAACTGTGGTTCACCAGTATGCTAAATGCCTTGCCTAAAGTATTCCTTTCGTGATAGTAGACACCTAGTTTGTGTTTCATATACAGGGTGATGGTAGCCTAGACCTGCCCCACTTCTATTCCCCACTTCTTTTACTAGACTGACTGGGGTTGGCCTTTAATAGGTAAATGCGGTTGGTGTCGAGCTGTTTCTTGAGGCATCGTTTTTTGCAACCATGATCACGTTTGCTGAGATTCCGACGGTTCGACAATCACTATTAGGTACTGGATTCGCTCTGACTGTCCTTGAGAGTCATGTTTAAGTTCTCCGGTATATGCGAACCGCTTCAACAACTGATCTGCACTTAACCGTTTTCCACCCCTGTAATTACAACCGAGGGTACCCTCGATGCAACTGAACGCGAGTATCCAGATAGATGCTGATGGCGTGCTGGTTTTTTTGTGACAATATTTTTTGACTTCTGCAACGACTAACTTTAGTGTTTTCAAGTTTTGCGTCACGCTTTGTCACCGCATATGCGGAGCAGTGGTTACATATGTTTGGCAACGAAAAAGCGGATTCAGAAGGCCGGAAGTCACTCCCAAAAATCAGAATATCGGGTTTATAGTAAAATCTCAACAGAGAGCTACGGCATTTGGAGCAAGAGGCACGTCAAGATTTGGAAGTGTGAAAGTTTCAGATTGCATTTTTATCTGATTATACCATATGAATTAGTTAACAGCACACACGAGACTAACTGGGAAATTATAAACTAGCTTTTTTACTCGATCCGACCACTAGCAGTATCGCAGTTTTCGGGCTAAGATGTGAAGATCCCTAACCAAGTCCAATAATTTAAGCAAGTAGTTCCTTTTCGTTATTCTGTCATTTGGGCTCGAGTCTAATTAGACCGAGTCATCTTATAAGATAACTCTGAAATGGGAAAGATGAGAAGGACTCCAAGGTCTCATGACGTTCGACATCATCAGCAATGTGCATGATGCTGTGGAAGTTGTAGACCATGTGCTCCTGCCCATACCAGGATGCGAATTTACTGGTAAAGAGTTTTAATAAATGCCTAGCGTAGCCTATGTTTGACATGTAAGCGTCCGATGAGGCCAGCAATCTTATAACCGTAAACAGGAGGAGAAAACCTCTAAAGTGCCCTGTCGGTAGAATTTTCTTCAGGAAAATTATTCCAGTGTACAGCAAAAATTGTCTGTACCCTGTGCCCTTCCAGGAGTCAAGGTCGGTTAGACTTCTGCAACTTTGAGTCAACCCTCGTAGCCTACTATTAACTATTTAAACTTTCGATGAACGCAGTGTGTACAAATGTGTCTGACAAGTCACCCACAAACGGATTAGCTTCCTCACCACACCTAAATATACAAGGTGCAGTGGATCTAGAGCTAAATTAGACACCCAACCCAATTTACAGCGGATAAATGGCGACGGCCCTACTATATGCTGATTACTTTCCTCTCCTCTAAAATCATCATCCTACCTCTCCTCTCCTTAAGGTAAACGACTTTTCCTACGTGTGTTCTGACGGTTGTACAACGCTCACAGCCGCCATATGCATTGACTTCCTTAATCTGTTTGACGAAGGCCCGCGTGGGTGCATCACAAATAACACTAGCTATGCGGACTCGCATCCTGCCAGGGCGATTACTGAATTGCAATCCTTCTTCTCGAAGGACAAATATTTCGTCTATCAGGTCTTTACAAAACACTTCTACGTTTGGCGGCTTTCCGTCCCCACAGTACATGGAAATGGCAAATACGTTACTAACAAATAGCTTCATGATACCACCTAGAATGGGCCACAGTTCAGCCCTCGTCTTGCGGTAAAGAGGCAAACCATCTATAGTTAGATTCACAAATATCTCTTCATTGCCTGCGACTACGAATTCACTATCAACTTACCTGCGCAGTTGCTTCTGCAGCCCAACATGAATGTACTCCCCACAACCCATGGGGACTACTTGCAAGTTATACGATGCCCCCAAAAGTGTGCGAGGGTCTTCGGGCAACTCTGGGACTGCCATCCGCACTATGTCAAACGGACTTCGCAAATGACAGTGCGCAATATTGCACTGCAAAGCCCAATCACGCGGTCTTGCCCTCATGCGTTCACCCAGTGGCGCGTCATTATGGATGACAGTGTCCGCCCAAGCAATACAGTCTGCAGACGCGAAGTCACCTAACAATGACTTTGGTGGGCTAAGAATCCAACTGACAACGTCCACTGAGTTACCAGCGGACGACCCCCGGTCTGAACAGTCGGCTCGATAATGTTTGCTACCGCCAAAAAGCAGACCCACTTCTGCGTCTATTTCTCTTGACATTTCCTCGATCTTCTTCACATGCCGCCTGATAGTGCGTTTACATTTGTACATGAACATTTCAACATTTGAACAGATGCGTTAATAAATCAAGTAAGGATATAACAGAGGGAAGAAGAGAGCACTTGATAGTACACGCCGCACGCGATACGCAAGCAATAATGGCGACGAGCATGCTCGTGGGATCATTGAGAACTCAAACATGCCAGCCAATGTTTGCGGGAAACCGACAAACTCACCATCCAGTCCAGTGAGGAAATAGCCCAGTCGTGACATTTCCGCGATAAGAGTGCATCAGGGAGCTATTCAATGCTTCTAGTGTCGGATGGTGTGGCAGTCATGTCGCATCTTTTCAGACGGGGTACAGATATGAGGCACATCTTCAACGTTCTCGGCGATGCAACAGACAGACTTACCAGAAGTTCGGAGTTTTTGAATCTTACCTAGGTAATAAAAGCTGATTTACCAACTTCGTTACATACCCGGCAATTTGTTTTCTAGTTTATCGAAACATTGTAAACTTCTTTGTGTGAATGATAGGGAAACAAGCCGAACGTTTTCATTGGAAACGGACACAATTTTGAGTCAATGGGACCTCGAAAAGAACCTAATGCGCATATTCGAGATTCTTGGGCTTCACTTCTTATAAGTGCTAAATCTACTCATAAAGCCCTTACACTGTCTTTACAAGGGGATAACCACTCAGGGTGAGGGCCCAGTAAAACTGGTGAGAGACTCCATTAACTTTTGTGAGGAATAGGTTTTACTTTTTACTAGACCTGATGATTCCAGGCGTGAACTTCCTGGACAGTATGAATGGCAGCAAGCACATTAACTCGGAATCTTGGCATGTAGGGGAGTGCAAATAATTTACATTCATGCACTGCTTATAAGATTGTAATACATATTGCCTCGTGTAGATGACTAAAGCGAAACGTCGCCCTTCGAGCGATAGTTGTATTCCGTCGGATTTTGCACAATCTCTCTCAGTCCGATTTATTTTCCACCAGGCAGCGCCACTTGTGCGGGGTAAATCATGCTGCTGTATTCGATATCCCAGCGACTGGCCTGGACGGACTGCCATTACCGACGTGCGTTCTTTTCCATGACGATCGCGCTTTGTATAGGAGATGTAGTCACATGAGTTCCCACCTTGGTTCCGTGGTCCTTTGGAGATAATTTTTTTACCTGCAAACGACGGAGAACGGCCGGTCTACTAGGGTTTATACCCCTCATGGTCGCCAGTTGATTTATCAAATATGTATGCCGTTCAGTCATTTAAATATCTTAATAGTTGCAATTTTGGCGCTCTCAGGAAGACCAGCTATTTTTATGGTACGTAGTCCACTCCCGAAACCCTCTTATTTTTGTTTAGAACTTAAACATTTTTACTTTTCAAATTGAAGTCGCCTTAGGTAAATGCTTTCTGCTTTTAGGGGATGTGGCCCCCCAGAACAAGCCGGACTTGGTACAGCGACTCAGTCTTATTCAAAAGGACATCGTCAAACTGCAGGTTGATGCAATCGTAAACGCGGCCAATGAAAGTTTACTCGGTGGTGGTGGCGTCGATGGCTGCATTCACCGGGCAGCTGGTCCAGAACTACTAGCCGAGTGTAGAACTTTACACGGATGCGCCCCAGGGTCGTCAGTTATCACCAAGGGCTACAAACTACCGGCTTCTCGTTAGTACTACTTTTAAAGTCCTTAAAAGTCTGTTTTAACTAAACATTTGCTGTTTGTGTGGCCAGAGGCTACCCATCCCCCACGTGCAGTGAACAGTGCAGTTTCTTTTGGATTGCCAGACTAACTGATGGACAGTCACGGATCACTCACAACTAACGCAGTTAGGGACGGCCATTTACCGCTCTAATGAGTCTGCAGTCTATGGAAAGTCAGGTAGTTAAAGCGCCATCATGTCTGGCATCGAACAAGACTTCAACTGTGACCACTGCCATCAGGCCTAAGGCCCTCAGCTAGAGACCAACTGCAATTCGGTGTCTTCAACATCGTATTACCTCGATTCCCCCTCCCTATATGTAAAACAAATTTCTGATTCGCCTTCCTGTTGACTGGAATCCCCACTAATTAAGCTCCATAGTGGTAGCCAGGTGTAATTGCGAACGTCTTGTCTTCGAATTCAGTGAGCTCCAAATTAAATGTAGGGATTTCAAGGCTCTGACAACCGATGCTAACCGTCTCTACCTTCTGTGTCTTGCGAATGTGTTTGCGATGGCGTCTTTACTCGCTGTCAGGATTATCAAAATATATTGTCGTTGGTCGCCAATAGATATCCTAACAAATTCCAGCAGCTGGTTTGTCAGTTAGGTTTGTTGTACACCTTTGAGCCAGAGCTATCTATGGGTCGCACTCGAATTTTTATTTAGGTACCTCGATGTCTTTACCAGCCAGAGTGGTCTTCTAATAAGGTCCAATTTTGGATAATTTCACCCTCAGGCCGACGCAATGCATGACTCAACCACGCAAGTCAGCAAGCAACAGAAGGGCATTTACCTGGCTAGATATTTTCCAGCCTGTATGTCCCTTCGTTCGGACCGGGAGCAGATAATTATGGGCGACGGATGTCTTCTAGGCGCACGGGTAATGCCTCATTTTTATTTGTATGGGTTGCCTTGATTAACGTCTTACTTACTCCTTGCTCAGCCTTTTGGCTGGCCTCTCACCGATTCCAGAGGTTACGGCATATGCATCGGGTTGACCTGGTGCTCGATTTCAGCACTGTCTTACACTGTTGGCTCAAGATAACAGATGTTGCCCACCAGCCCATAAACTTCGATATCTATCCTGTTCGAACAGACTTATCTGACCAGCAAACCTGAGGTAACCGTCTTTGTTGTGAAGTCCTCGCCCTTTCCGTCTACCTTGGTGTCATCGCATCCATTCGATATAAAGCATGCCGCACTTTCACTAAGGACATCATTACTACCGCGACATCGTTAGTATAATTGGAATTCGTAGTGCATGAAAGAGAACTTACGGTAAGTTCGAAGGTGTCTGCCGAGGTGTTTTAAAGAGTTTTCTTGCCTTGTAGTTGAAACGCGTTGGTGAAAGACTACAGCCCTGGTGGCAGCAAACAGAATGGTACATATGACGGCGTTCACGACTAACTCAGCAAGCCATACGTTGCGACTACCGTCTATTGCGGTGGGTTGGCTACAGACTCCGGAACGAGGCTAAGCCAGTTGGTACGTCAACCCCGTAGGGTGGGAGGTGCACCCGAGAATGACACCCCAACACGTCCAGACACGGCCGGGCTCGTTGAAGGAGGTACTTTGGACTCTTTCACCGTCAGGCTGGCGCAACACATATTCGAGTAAGGAGGGCGCGGTCGATCGCTCCTGCTCGTGGACGTCTATGTAGTCGTGCGTTAGAGACCTGACGGACAAACGAACTCGGATAGTGGTGCGTAAACTTGCTTACTTGTGGTTGGTACGGCTGCGATCATGCCTGATCTGGCCGGCCTCGATGATGTCCCGGACTGTACCTCTCCACACGCGTGACGGTCGGCGGCAGCGTAAGCATCATCGGTCTAAGACTTCCGAGTGGTGCACATGTCTCAGACGCGCAGGCCATGTCTCACCTCCCTAAAAAACTGCCTCGGCCAAAGCCACATATGCTCACAGCATGTTTTTGATTGATCCATGCTGATTCTAAACGTTTCGACGAATCGGACAAAGGCCGCGCGTGCGCGGCTGCTCCGATGGCCGATTTGATTTCTTCTGCGCTTTCGACTGAAAGTCCGACAAAAGACAGCAGAATCTGCAAAGTAACTTACACCTTTCACCGTTGGCCGTGGCTGCCGGATATAACTAATCGCAACGATCCCCCAGCTTTTTATTACAGGCTTAAGTCTATCGAAAACGTTTTGACGGCGTGCGCTGGGCGGCCGAAATTCCCAAATGCACGGGCAAAATCTGCAAAATGAAGGTGGATTGCTGACAGAAACGGTTGGTGCTCTGTGGTTCGTTACAACCCGAATTGTTCCTTACAATCGCGAGCGATTAGGGCGGTGGCCTTTAAAGACTTCGGCGTAAGTGTCGAGAGGACTGATGTGGCTTGTGCGTGCGGCCTAGGTTTTTCACATTTGGGTCAGCCATCGAATAGTCTTTACTTGCACCTATATAATACACTTAAGCCAAATTCCGATCTCTTAGTTGTATCCTTGTAATGGTAAATATCACAGCTTGAGAGGAAGTTTCCCGGTCATAAATTTTCAGGGATTTTATGCAAAATAAAATCTGTATTAGTAAATGTTCAGGCCACAAGGTTACAGTAGCGAGGGCTTACGTAGTAGCGGCTGATACTCGGCATGTTATATAGACGTCATCGAAATGGACCGCATGTCATAGGATGGCGGGTCTGTTAGAATTCTTTTCCCCCTCCTCCTCATAAGACTGCCGAAGATGTTACATGGTTGCTTATCCCTCTGCTTCAAAAATCCGCTTGTTTCACACAGCTTCTCGAAGGGGGTTCTACTGCCTATCACTCATGAGCGTAGAAGATTGTGTAATGAATATGGACCACGCTGTATACTTCATAAGAAGTATTAACAATCGGACAGGTACGATGCTGTCGGGGTAGACATTTCACAGCTCTAGGACTTTCAATTACGAACCTTTTACAACCAAAAGATACGATTTCATTGAGTAGAAAATTTGAAGAAGACGTACTTGACTACCAGATGAGTGGCCGGAAAGAAGCGCGTTCAAAAGCAGGCACCTCGATGTGACTAAAATATCTTGATGGTCAGTAGTACGATTCCGTCCAAGTAACCCTTTCATACTGAGGTTATATTTAAGTTGATGTTTCATGAGGTACGCCACCTACTACAATAGGTGCCCTCTCACCAACTTTGCGTGTGCGCTTCGCCGAGCGAAACCTCCAAGACAGGTGGCACTTGCGCCAGACTTGAGACGTGACCAAAAACATGTGGGATGCGGTGGCCTTGCCTCTGCTCGCGACCTCGTCTTCAGTCAAGTTGCGCCGGTTTTGCCACTAATTTACGATGGAAGGGAGGGAGAGACAGTAAGGCCTATCCTATGTCTGACTCATCGTTGAGCTATGATTGCTCCATAAGGAGGGCGCGTTAAAAGGTTGCCAATTGACGAAGTAATTTAGTTCTCTAGACTGAGGGTTAGGCTGCGATGACTCCATTTTTATGTGGCCTTTTGCCAATTCTTATCGATATGCGATTCGAGTGAGTGCTGTCTGGTTGATATGGTGATTAACCGACGTGCGCAGGTGTGGACGTGCGTATACGGGGCGAGTGACAGATCAACTGGGGCTTTCAAGTCATCATGACCTAGTCTTGCCGTTGAAACCAGATGGTCCAGGAAGAGAGAGAGGGAGAGGCGGTCGGTGGTGCGAATGTCTCCCGCACTGTAACTCCGTGTACACTCAAGCAATCACTGTCCGTGCGAAGAAGAACTGGTCATCAGTTTGTTCGGTGGATGAACTTTGGCTGGCCTTCTAACCTAAAACATCGTAGGCACGAACGCCTGCTCCTCGAAGTAATGCTGGAAAAGATGAGGATGAGAGGGTTGACTCTTTTCGATTTTTTTGCTCTCATCCACTAACCAGACTTGAGGAGACTGGGGTTCCATATTCATTCAGTATTCCATCTATTGACTTGTCGCTGCCATACTATTCGCGATGATTTTAGAGAGGGCTACCGAACAAAACTGAGCGAGTTTACTCTGTAGTGCGGTCAGCTCGGATGAGTGCCGCTTTTACGTGACTATGCATGCATACAGTAGTTGGGCTAACTCATGAAATGTCGACCGAAATTCCGAAATGCGTTTTCGTTTCGAAAATATTAACTAAGTAGGGTTGTAAAAGTAATCATTGTGCAGCATAATTCTATAATAATTCAGTTACCTCAGGATGCTGGCCTTCGAACGGACGTCCTTCCGTCTGCATACAAAAACTATACTATAAAAAATGACTACTTACGTAGGATGAATTTTTCTCATTGATTTTCGATGCCGCAAAAAGTCCATGGAATACATGAATAAAAATATTCATTTCTTCCGCTCATTTGGTAGCAAATTACGTCTTCTTCCACCTTTATACTCTAAGGAAGGGTATTATTCGGTTTTCACAAACTTTTATAATTCCCGAATAATTTTGAACCCGCCCTGCCGTCACACTTGCATTCAGGACTTCCAAACTACAAGCCATGTATTTTCCGCGTACGAAAACTACACATTTTTCTACGGTATTGACAAGAGACCATATGGGGTTCATAAAATTTAGCATTGGATGTGATCCATATTGTTAACTTTAAAAGCCACATTGATAAATGCAGAGACATGACGCATTATGAAAAGCCATTTCACGGTATTTAAAAGTCTCACAATTAGAAACTTTTTAAAAACCAAATTATATCCTTCCTTCGAGTATAAAATTGAAATAAGACGTACTTTTCTGCAGGATGAGCAAAAGAATGGATATTTTAATGCATGTTTTCTATGAAATATAACTGGACTTTCAGGGGCATCGAAAATCAATGAGAAAAATGCATACTGCTTACGTAGTGACTTTTTACAGAGTATAGTTTTTGCATGAAGCCGGAAGGACGTTCGTTCGAAAGCCAGCATCCTGAGATAATTGAATAATTATAGAATTATACTGCAGACTGATTAGTTTTACAACCCTGCTTAATTAGTC